GAAGGCTGGTGGTTCAAATCCACCAGCCACTCCTCGGAAGGAAGGTTGGGCAATCTACTTCCGTAGTGATACTGCCTTGGAAACCCAAGGAGGGGGTCGCTATGAGTCGGGTCCGACTCAACGGCACATAACAACAACAACATCAGCAGTGAGGGATGAGTAAACCTTATGGAGCAGTTCTACTCTGTCCTTTATAGTCACTATAGGGACTCTGTGAGTCAGAATCTAGTGGACAGCATTGGTTTTCTTTTAAAGGAGAAAAAGTGAGAAAAGATACAAACATGATTTTCATAAAGAGATATACAGAAAACAAAGTACAGAAAAGTGTTTATTTTCATTTGTAATCATGGAAATATATCTTTGTATAATTTTGAGATACTGTTTTAAACTGGTCAGCATTACTTATATACCAAAGATATTTTTCTAAATTAAAATACCAAATGCCATTAAAGACAGCAGTGAATTTTACCAGTGGGTGAAAATAGTTGGCTTCAAGTAGCTCTGTAGATTAGTTACAAGCATTTTGGAAAGCGTTTTGGCACTTCATCCATCGCAAGGGACTTGCAGTGTTCCTTTCATCTAGCAATTCTACTCTTCAGGGATTTATTCTAAGGTTATGTTTCTATACAAACAAAATATTCATTACATCATTATGTATACAAGCAAAAAATAAATACCCAACTTTTAGAAGCTTAATGGTTTTAACTATTAAAAATTATAAGTTTGAATATAGTGTAGAAGTCTGAAAAAATATTTTACCTAAACAGTATATACATCTTGTGAAAGTATGTATACTTAGATAATATGTAAAATAAATATAATTATGATACAGTAGCAGATATAGAGAATATTTTTGTTTTATTCTTAATTGCATTAATTTTTCAGTTAACAAGAAAAACACTAGCAGAGTATTATAAATGAATTTGTAAGACTTTATAAAGTTTTGAAAGATAAACTCTCTACCAAAAACATATCACAAAGATAATAACTATGTTGATATAATTACAAAAAATGTACTTTTTGGTTTTGTAGGATAATTTTCAACAAAAGTTAATTTATAACATTAGCATGTAACTATAATTTCATAAACTTTGAAAGACAGAAACCTAAAGATTGAGGTCAGATGTATTCTAGTTGGCATATTAAAATAATTTCCTATTTAATTAGGAATGGTGAAAAATGAAAAGTATTAATTTGAAGGATATTAATTTAAATATACAAATATGGAAATGAATACTACATTAACTGGAAGAGGGAAAACTTTGACATTTATTAACTGCAATTTTAACTAGAAAATAGTATCCTTTTTAGATATTATAGTGATTTGGCTTTGATTTAATACATGTGTATAGCTTTTATGATTTTGAGAATTCATATATAATTGCTTGAACGATTTTTCTTAGAAAGATCAGCACAAGGCTGGTATCCATGAAGTGGAGGTTAAAGATGTCCCAAATGTCCAAACTACCATGACACTCCATCATTTCAGACATTAACTCCTCCTCCTCTCAGTAATCTCCCCCGACTTGGGGTTCTGTTTTTCACTGTAATGCTTTACAGAGTTCAAAGCCACCCAAGTAATCATCTCACATAGTGGTGGTGGAGGCTGGGAGGCTGGCAGGCTGGCATATACTAGGTTTGTAAGTAGGTCTGGAGAATGCTACCCATTCTCTGGGTTTGATGAACTTCAGTAAGCAGATCAGATGACGGCTGCTGTCCCAAATCCAAAGGTGAGATGACAATGGGCCAAAATGCAGAACCGGAGCAAGCTGAGGGCAAACCTTCACAGAAAATTCTTACATATACCCTCAAGGAAGCTAAGGGTGGTAATTTGAGTTATATCCTCCAGCAAGGTGGGACTCAAGATACATCCCACCTGTTCTGCTCTAACAGCAATAACCGAAGTAGATGACTTTAAACAATCAGAAATTTAAAAGCAATTATGTATTTGCTGACAGCAAATTCCACCACTGAGCCAATTGCCAGTCATTATAGGGAATAACTAACTACCAGCTGCCCAGCCAGCCACATGACCTTAACTACCACACCACCCTAAACAGGCATGGATAATAGGATTTGCAATACATCACCAAATGGAGAACAATGTCTAAAAGGGCCACATCAAGCAATTCACCGCACTATTATATATAGCCTAATTACAGTTACATTGTATGTATGTGGTTGTGTGTTATTTTAAAATCTAAATTTAAAAAATTAGAATAGAATATATTACAGACATACCTTGTTTCATTACACTTTGTTTTATTGGACTTTGCAGATAATGTGTTCTTTACAAATTGAAGGTTTATGGCAGCCCTGCATTGAGCAAGTCCATCAGTGCCATTTTTCCAATAGATTGTGCTCACTTCATGTCTCTCTGTCACATTTTGGTAATTCTCACAATATTTCAAACTTTTTCATAATGCTGTTGTATACTTCATAGGCTGCAGTATAGTGTAAACATAACTTTTACATGTGCTGTAAAAGCAAAAAAAAAAAATGTGTGACTTTCTTTATCACAATATTTACTTAATTGGGGTAGTCTGGAACTGAACCTACAATATGTCCTAGATATGTCTGTTGATATACTATTTTAAAGTCTAAATTAAAACAGTTAGAATATGAAGGAGAATGGTATGTATGTACACACACACACACACACATACACATACATATATTATATATATATATATATAAACAAAGTATATGTACAGTCTATACATAATCATGAAGAGGAAGATATATATTGATCACATATATAAAATGTTCTCATATATGTATAATTATACACACACACACACACACACACACACACCATTCCTTCTTATGATTCTGTTTTAGTTTAGACTTTAAAATAGTGTCCTTATCCTAAACAAAATAGAGTGCATTAGATTTTTCTGAGAAAAACTTAGAGTATAATTTTGCTAAGTGATTCATTTTTGAATTGTGAATTTTATTCCTAGTAAATAA